GCTCTGTTGCCCAGGCTGGAGTGCAGTGGCTTGATCATAACTCACTGCAACCTCCACCTCCTAGGCTCCAGCGATCCTCCCACCTCAGCGTCCGGAGTATCAGGAACTACAGGCACATACCACCACATCCGGCTAATTTTTATTTTTTTAATTAATTAATTAATTAATTAATTATTTTTTTTTTTTAAAGACAAGAGTCTCACTCTGTCGCCCAGGTTGGAGTGTAGTGGCACGATCTCGACTCACTGCAACCTCCACCTGTGGGCTCAAACGATTCTTCTGCCTCAGCCTCCGGGGTAGCTGGGATTACAGGCAGCTGCCACCACGCCTGGCTAATTTTTGTGTTTTTAGTAGAGACGGGGTTTCGTCATGTTGGCTAGGCGGGTCTGAACTCCTGAGCTCAACCCTGCCTCGGCCTCCCAAAGTGCTGGGATCCCAGGCGTCAGCCACCGCGCCCTGACACAAGTATTATTATAAGAGTACCCACCCTGTATATTTTTTAGCACCTAGTTTGAGTCCTAGCCGTGTTGATCCCAATAGCCATAGCTCATCCATTTCGACTCCGAGTGGAGTTCCATGCCCTGGACCCTCGGCAGAGGCCTCATCCCGGGACGCCTGCCTGGCAGGGGCAGCTGCACCCCAGACCCCCCCATCGCTGCGGGGCCCAAACCTAGTCGTCTGCACGTGTTCCGGGCAGGGCGGGTTGCCTTGGCAACCAGCAGCTCTTCTAGCAATTCTAGGCCCCTAGAGATGGCGTCACTAGCCCGCGCCCGGGCCTGGACCCGCCCTCCGTGCTGCCGTCGCTTGCCATTAGCCCGCGGAGAGACGGACGTTCACCTCGTCCAATGGGAGGCTCCGCGCTCCTGAAGGGGGGACTAACGCTTACCTGGGGCGCGAGTCCCTGCCGGAAGCCGGCGTCCACGACGCAGCTGCTCAAGCTTGGGTGGGCGAAGTGGGCGCAGGTAGGAGAGTGGGGCTGCAGCGGGGTGGCCGGCGGGTCAGGGTGCCGAGGTGATCCAGAGCCCCGGGGCGGGCTCCCGCGGGGCCCCGCCCCCTCCACGTGGGTGCGCGGAGGCCTGGCGTGGCGCGATTGGGCGGCGGCCCTGGAGTCCCGGGTGCTGGAGAGGCTGGTGCGTCCGGTGCGGTCCCGCGCGGGCTCCGACGCTGGCACCCCCTCTGGATTAACTCAGTGCGGGCGGGAGGAAGGACGCCGCTGGCTCCTAGGTCGCAGGCCGTCAGCCCTCGCTGTGGCTCTGGTTTAATTGTCTTCCCCTGAAGACTCCCTGATTGCCTTCCGAGGCTTTCAGCTCCCACTTTCTCTCTTTTTTTTATTTTTGAGTCAGTGTCTCGTTGTGTCACCCAGGCTGGAGTGCAGTGGCGTGATCATAGCTTACTGCGGCCTCCACCTCCTGGACTCAAGCTGTCCTCCCGCCTCATCCTGCCCAGCAGCTGGGACCACATGCGCGCGCCACCACACCCGGATAATTTTTTAAAATGTTTTTTGTAGAAACGGGGTCTCACTATGATACCCAGGCTGGTCTCGAATTCTTGGTCTCAAGCGATGGATCCTCCCGCCTCGGTCTCCGAAAGTGCTGGGATTACAGGAGTGAGCCATCAAGCCCGGCCTCACTTTCCATCATAAGCATGCTTTCCATTCCTTCCTTCCTTCCATCTTTCATTCGTTCGTTTTTAAAAAACGTTCATTGGGTTCCTCCTGCGCTGTTCGGGGCATTGGGCTACAGCTGTCAACAAGTGGAGACAAGTCTGTGATCTAGTGAACTTCCATTCTGGAGGGGAGAGACAGATGACCAAGGTGCACAGAGCAGGTGGTGATAAGTGCTGTGGAGAAGATGAGAACAGGGGGTTCGAGAGTGGAGAGGAAGCAGGAGGAGGAGTGAGGCACCAGAACATTCCATGCCGGGCAACAGCAGGGAGCCCAGTGTGGCTGCGGCCAATTTGGGAACAGAGAAAGAGGAGGTGAGGCCCAGAGATGCGGGGAGGGGCCAGGGCAGTGGTGTGGACTTTACCAACTGGCAAGGACCTTGACTTTCCCTTCAAGTGGAAGGGGACAGCTTGGGAAGTTTTTGAGTGGAGGTGACACACAATCTGATTTAGGGCTTTAAAAGCCATCGTGAGAGGTGGTGGCTTGGACCAGGTACCTACGGGATCATAAGGGAGTCACATTCTGGGTGTATTTCAGTGATAAACCGACGGGAGGTGGTGGTAGGTTGGACGAGTGTGTGAGAAAGAGAGGAGTTGTGGATGGACCAAGGTTTTAAGCTTGAGCTACGACGTGAACCTCATCAGATGGATGTTTTTGGAGAGGATGAACACCGGGAAGCTCAGGTTTGTGGAGGGTGATCAGGGTATTGATTACAACTTCTTAAGTTTGAGATGATATGTGTGTAGATGACACATATAGGTACATATGTATGGTTTTATATATACAGTTATGTATATACACAGTTTATATATACACACACACACATATATATATATTTTTTTTTTGAGACAGAGTCTCACTCTGTTGTCCAGGCTGGAGTGCAGTGGCGTGATCTCAGCTCACTGCAACCTCCACCTCTTGGGTTCAAACGAATCTCCTGCCTCAGCCTCCCAAGTAGCTGGAATTACAGGCATGCACCAGCACACCCAGCTATTTTTTGTATTTTCAGTAGAGACGGGGTTTCACCATGTCCCAGGCTGGTCTCCAACTCCTGACCTCAAGTGATCTCCCTGCCTCGGCCTCCCAAAATGCTGGGATTACAGGCGTGAGCCACTGTGCCTGGCCATACACATATATATACATACATATGTGTGTGTGTGTGTGTATGTATGTATGTATACATCTGTATAAACAGTGTAAACAGAGATCAGGAGTTCAGGTATGTACATATATATATATGTCTAGGTACATGTATATGACCGCATATATGTTTAACTGTATACATGCACAGTTGAGTTGGCGTGTAGTTCAAGCATAGGGTTAATAAGAGACCTGTAAAGAGAGGAAACAAAGTCATCAGCATCTAGTTGTATTTGAAGCCACGTGACCGAATGGGATCACGAGGGAGTGAGGAGGCTGAGCACTAAGCCTGGGTCCTTCAGTGTTCAAGGACAGGCGATTAAGAGGTGGGAGCAAAAGCAGGAGTTGTGCTGTCTGTGCTGGATGCCGGGTGAAAAACGCCTGTCAAGAGAGAAGGAAGGATCAACAGTCCAATGCTCTTAGGTCAGATAAATTGCATACTGAGAGTTGGCAATGGGATTTAGCCAGGTGGGTGTCATTGTGGCAAGGTGGTTGGGGCAAAAGCCTGATGGGATGCGGGGAGGAAAGGAGTCAGAGACAGGGCAGGTAGATGACTGTTTCTTTCCTCCCCTCCCCTCCCCTTCCTTTTTCTCTCTGTCTCTCTCTTTTTCTTTTTTTTTTTTTTTTTTGAGACGGAGTCTCGCTCTGTCGCCCAGGTTGGAGTGCAGTGGCGCGATCTCGGCTCACTGCAAGCTCCACCTCCCGGGTTCACGCCATTCTCCCACCTCAGCCTCCGAGTAGCTGGGACTACAGGCGCCCGCCACCACGCCCGGCTAGTTTTTTGTATTTTTAGTAGAGACGGGGTTTCACCATGTTAGCCAGGATGGTCTCCATCTCCTGACCTCGTGATCCACCCGCCTCGGCCTCCCAAAGTGCTGGGATTACAGGCTTGAGCCACCACGCCTGGCCTTTTCTTTTCTCTCCTCTTTCCTCTCATTCTGTCGCCTAGGCTAGAGTGCAGTGGCGCAATCTTGGCTCACTGTAACCTCCACCTCCCTGGTTCAAGTGCTTCCCCTGTCTCAGCCTCCCAAGTAGCTGGGACTGCAGGCACCCACCACCACACCCAGCTAATTTTTGTTTATTTTTAGTTCAGACAGGATTTCACCATATTGGTCAGGCTGGTCTCGAACTCCTGACCTCAGGTGATCTGCCCGCCTTAGCCTCCCAAAGTGCTGGGATTACAGGTGTGAGCTACTGCACCCAGCCTTGCCTTTTTTTTTTTTTTTTTTTTTAAGAAACAGGGTCTCTCACCCTGTCACCCAGTTTGCAGTGTAGTGGCATGATCATGATTCGCTGCACCCTTGAACTCCTGGGCTGAAGTGATTCTCCTGCCTCAGCCTCCCAAGTAGCTGGGACTATAGGCGCGGGCCACTATGCCCAGCTAACTACAAAATATATGTATTTTGGGGCCAGGTCTGGTGGCTCACACCTGTAATCCCAGCAGTTTGGAACGCCAAGGTTGGAGGATCGCTTGAGCCCAGGAGTTTGAGACCAGTCTGGGCAACATGATGAAACCCCATTCCTACAAAAAATACAAAAATTAGCTGGGCATGGTGGCGTACACCTGTAGTCCCAGCTGCTGCAGAGGCTGAATTGGGAGGATCGCTTGAGCCTGGGCAGTTGAGGCTGCAGTGAGCTATGATCACGCCACTGCGTTCCAGCCAAAATCTTTTTTGTAGTGACAGGGTTTCACTATATTGCAAGGCTGGGCATACGGCTTGATTTTTTGTAGAAAAAATATGGCACAAATTTGGTTCTCACAACGAACTTTATAGCAAACAATCTTTCTCCCATTTATTATTATTGTAAAGTAGCACGTGGATGTTATATTTTTATTTAATTAATTAATTAATTAATTAATTAATTTATTTTTTGAGATGGTGTCTTGCTCTGTCGCCCAGGCTGGAGTGTGGTGGCGCGATCTTGGCTCACTGAAACCTTCACCTCCCAGGTTCAAGTGATTCTCCTGCCTCCGCCTCCAGAGTAGCTGGGACTATAGGCACATGCTACCACGCCCGACTAAGGTGTTACATTTTTAAATTTATGGTAAATAACTTGAGAGGGATTATAGTTTTTATTTTTCCCAGTATATCGAGGGGTTGTGGAACCATCACCACAATCTAATTTTAAACTTTTTTCTTCTCCCACAAGAAATCCTGTAGCCCTTCGTGGTCACCCACTCTTCCCTCCGCTTGCCCTATCCCTAAATAATCTCTGATCTCCTTTCTGTCAGTATAATTTACATATCCTGAGCTTTTCACAGAAGTGGAATTTTGCAGTGCGGAGTCTTGGGGGTCTGGCTTCTCTCACCCAGCACAGTGTCTTCTGGGTTCATCGTGCTGCGGCACGTGTCAGTGTCCCATTTCGTTTGGTGGCCGAATAGTATCCCCTGTGCGAATGCGCCACGTTTGGTTCCCCCTTCGTCCATGGATGCACAGACACGGAGGTTGTTTTGACTGCTTGGATATTAGGCACGTACTGCCGTGGACATCATTGTACGTTTTTATGGAGATGTGTTCGTTTCTCTTTGATTGGCATTTCCTAAATGGCCCATGATGCTGAGCTGCGTTTCATGTGCCTGTTGGCCATTCGTGTATCTTTGGAGAGACGTCTCTTCAGATCCCTTCCCCATTTAAAAACCGGGTTATTTGTCTCCTATTGTTGAGTTGTTAGAAGTCTTTATATATTCTGGTTACTAGTGTCTTGTCAGATATGTGATTTGCAGGTATTTTTCTCCAATACTATGGGTGGTCTTTTTTTTTTTTTTTTTTAAATACAGGTTCTCACTTTGTTGTCCAGGCTGGGTTGTAGTGGCATAATCATGGCTTATTACAACCTCGATTTCCTGAGCTCAGATCATCCTCCCACTTCAGCCTCCAAGGTAGCTGGGACTCCAGGTGTGCATCACCATGCCCGGCTAATTTTTTGTATTTTTTGTAGAGATGGAGCCTCACTGTGTTGCCCAGGCTGGTCTTGAACTCCTGGGCTCAAGCAGTCCTCCCACCTCCCAAAGTGCTGGGATTAGAGGCGTGAGCCACCGTGCCCGGCCTGCGTTTTCTTTTTGCTTTGTTTTGTGTAGAGATGTGGTCTTGCTGTGTGGTCGGGACTGGTCTGGAACTCCTGGCCTCAAGTGATCCTTCTGCTTCAGCCTCCCAAAGTGCTGGTATTACAGGCATGAGCCACCGCACCCAGCCTCTTTATTTTCTTGCTGGCATCCTTTGCAGCACAAAAGTTTTACATTTTGTTGTAGTCCAATTTATTTTCTTTTTCTTTTGCTGCCTGTTTTTGGTGGCATATGTGAGAGGCCATTGCCTAATCCAAGGTCATGAAGATTTACTCCTATGTTTTCTTCTATAATTTTATAGTTTTAGGTCTTCCATTTAGGACTTTGATCTATTTTGAGTTAGTTTTGTGTATGGTGTGAGGTAGGGCTCCAAATCAGTTCTTTTATATGTTGGTAGCCAGTTGTCCTGGCACCATTTGTCTTTCTCACTGAATTGTCATGGCACTCTTATTGAAAATCAGTTGACAGTAAATGAAAGTAAACGTCATTTTCCATAACAAACATTCATTATCTCAAAGCTTGAGTCACTTTCCCTTAGAACTATTAAAATAAACTTTTCCATAATATGGAAAAGTCTTTTATCCCTTTTTAGCAAATAGACATAGTGATTAAGTTTTTAAATGATAACTTACAGAATGAATATAGATTTGACTTAACTTTTATAGTAATGGGTATGTAAATATTTGCTGAACTTTTCTTATTTCTCTCACAAGGTAATTGGCTGGCATGGTCTTTTGTCTTTTCAGAGCCCCTGTGTCAACAGTATCTCATTCTTCCAAGATTTCTTATTACACAGCTAATTGAAATCTGTAGCCTCTGGCTTCTGATGCTTTTTAAATATAAGGCTCAATTAAAGAATAAGGGGCTTGGGGTTTTCTGATTCCACAATAGGAATATTCTTTCAGTGTGCTGTTACCAGTGACGGCCCCAAGTGGGATGGAGGGAGCCCTTGTGCAGGCTCTGCCCTTTGGACGGGGCCTTTGCTCTTCAACTGTCTCCTTGGTTTCTGGCGTAACCTAGCATCCCAGGCCTGCCTTGACCTCCCCTGACTCTTTTTCACAGCTAGTGGTATTTAGACCACACCTGGGCTCTGGGTGGGCTCAGTGCTGCCAGGCCCTTTCCATGATGATCATCCTTTAACTGCCGCTCTCCTGTCACCTTTCCTGCTTTACTTTTTTTTTTTTTTTTAAACATAAGGTCTCATTCTTTTGCCCAGGCTGGAGTGCAGTGGTGCAATCATGGCTCACCACAGCCTCGACCTCCTGGGCTCAAGCAATCCTCCCACCTCCACCTCCTGAGTAGCTGAGACCACAGGTGTGCCTCACCAAGCATAGCCAATTTTTAAAAAATGTTTTGTAGACATGGAGCCTCGCTATGTTGCCCAGGCTGGTCTCAAACTCCTGGGCTCAAGCAGTCTGCCCACCTCAGCCTCCCAGAATGCTGGGATGACAGGCGTGAGCCACTGTGCCCGGACTGTTTTAATTTTGGGGTGGGATTTGGCTTTCTTGGTGTTCCCTGGCTTACTGACGCGGTCCTTTGTGGGTGTGTGTCTGAGCTGTCTGGGCTGGAGGCCATGTGGTGAAGCAGCGTGCTGGTTGTTGAGTTCCTGTCTCTCAGCTCCCCAGCGCCTCTGTGGTACTCCCCCACCCCCACCCACTCGGGGGCCTACATAGCCTGGGGCTCTGCAGGACACTTTTCTGTTCTCAGCTCCTTTTAAGGCTCTACCCAGTAGGGGCAGCAGGGGAGACTGGGAGCTGGAGGGTGGGGAGGAGTGTAAGTAAGGAGGAGTGTGGGTGAGGAGGTGGCCCTGGGGAGGGTGGGGACAGGAAGGGGGGGTGGGGACAGGGACATGGGGTCGGGCGAGGGCTTCTTCTGCTCCTGCTGTCCTGTCTGAGCGAGCCCATGCAGGAGGCTTCGCTGCAGCAGCAGGTGTGGGCCGGGCTCCTGCTTCTCCCTCCTAGAAGCAGCCCGTTCCCTGCCCGCACCCCACCCCAGGTTCTTCCTTAGGTCTCAGCCACAGCCGCCAGTACCTCTCCATCAGGGACCCAGGGCCTGCTACCCCAGCCCCTCCAGCAGGCTCCCAGGTCTGGTGGCCTCAGCTGCCTCTTTCGGCTCCCTCTTCACACAGTTCACAAAGGACACGGGTTCTGCCATCCCTAGACTTCTCCGTCTTGGTGTGGTGTTCTAGAGACTGCTGTGCTGGAGAAAGGAGGCCTAACCACGTGCCCCTCGAATGCTGCATCCACCCTCGTACGTGGCCTGCTCCATGCTCCTTGGATGCTCAGAGGAGATCCCAGACTTAGGGTGGTCCTTGAGCCCCTCCACCAGAGGTGGCCAGGTGTCCTGTGATGGGCAGGGCTGGCACCCACAGCCCGGGTGGTGCCACAGCTTCCCTAGTTGACGGGGAGCACGAGTGAGCCCATGATAGGAGAAAGTGAAAACAATTCAAAATATTCAGTGATTAGAGAGCAGGCAGATTTTCACTTTTGGGAAATTATGATACTGTCACTGAAGATGGTATTTCTCTCAATCTTAAAAGCTTTGTGTTCATGTTCAGTTAGAAATATAGAATATATAATCCATGTATGATTGCAGCTGTGTTAAATAAAAGCAGTCAGAAAAAAGACCGAACGGGGCCGGGCACGGCAGCGCACGGCAGTGGCCCCAGCGCTTGGAGAGGCTGAGGCAGAAGATGGCTTGAACCAAGGGGTTTAAGACCAGCCTGGGCAGCATAGCAAGACCCTGCCTCTACAAAAAATTTAAGTTAGCCAGGCATGGTGGCACACGCCTGTGATTACAGCTACTCAGGAGGCTGAGGTGGGAGGATGGCTTGAGCCTGGGATTTTGAGGATGCAGTGATCCAAGATTGTGCCACCGCACTCCAGCCTGGGTGACAGGGTGAGATGACCCGAGATCGCACTGCTGCACTCCAGCCTGGGTGACAGGGTGGGATGACCTGAGATTGCACTGCCACACTCCAGCCTGGGTGACAGGGTGAGATGACCTGAGATTGCACTGCCGCACTCCAGCCTGGGTGACAGAGTGAGATGACCTGAGATTGTGTCACCGCATTCCAGTCCGGGTGACAGAGTGAGATGAGCCGAGATCGCACTGCCGCACTCCAGCCTGGGTGACAGGGTGAGATGAGCCGAGATCGCACTGCCGCACTCCAGCCTGGGTGACAGGGTGGATGACCCGAGATTGCACTGCCGCACTCCAGCCTGGGTGATAGTGAGATGAGCCGAGATTGTGTCACTGCACTCCAGCCCGGGTGACAGAGTGAGATGAGCCGAGATCGCACTGCCGCACTCCAGCCTGGGTGACAGGGTGAGATGAGCCGAGATCACACTGCCACACTCTAGCCCGGTGACAGAGTGAGATGAGCCAAGATCCTACTGCCGCACTCCAGTCCGGGTGACAGAGTGAGATGACCTGAGATTGCACTGCCGCACTCCAGCCTGGGTGACAGGGTGGGATGACCTGAGATCGCACTGCCGCACTCCAGCCCGGGTGACAGAGTGAGATGAGCCGAGATCGCACTGCCGCACTCCAGCCTGGGTGACGGAGTGGGATGAGCCGAGATCGCACTGCCACACTCCAGCCTGGGTGACAGAGTGAGATGAGCCGAGATTGTGTCACCACACTCCAGCCCGGGTGACAGAGTGAGATGAGCCGAGATTGCACTGCCGCACTCCAGCCTGGGTGACAGGGTGGGATGAGCCGAGATCGCACTGCCGCACTCCAGCCTGGGTGACAGTGAGATGAGCTGAGATCGTGCCACCGCACCCCAGCCTGGGTGACAGGGTGAGACCCTGACTCAAAAAAAAAAAAAAAAAAAAAAGACGGAAAGGAAATACACCAAAATGTCAAATTGGTTGCCATAGGTGATGAAATGTGGGGGTTTGAGTTTGTTTTAACTTTTATGTTTTCTGTATTTTCTGAAATACTTTTTTTAAAAAACGGGAAAGTGCCCTATTTCTTTTTATTTAAAAATCTTATATGAGCTAAGCCTTTTATTTCCTTATTTTCAGCAGTTTACTTTCTCTGTTGCAGGATGGCAAAACAGAAGAGAAAAGTTCCTGAAGTGACGGAGAAAAAGAACAAAAAGCTGAAGAAGGCCTCAGCAGAGGGGCCACTGCTGGGCCCTGAGGCCGTGCCAAGCGTCGATGGAGCCAGCTCCAAGGTAAGGCCGCCAGTGCTTCGCGGGCCCCGCCCTCTGGGATCCACCTGTTTTCTGATCTAGAAGGAGGGGGCGGCTCAGCCTGCTGGTCTCTGTGGAGCAGAGGCTGGAACAGATGCGGAGGCGTGGATGGGCTTGGTGCCTTCCAGAAGCAATTGTAGGACAAAAAAGGATTGTAGTAAATTTTGAGTTGGAACCCCATGATCGCCTTTTTTAGCCATCAGGACACTGCTGTTTTGGGTGCCGTGATGTGTAGGGGACTTGGTGGCGGCATGCAGGATGGTGAGGGGCCTGCAGCAGGCCTTTGGTTGTGCTCTGGGAAGGTGCGGGCGGCGGCTCCTCACCTGGACATGCGCAGGGGCGTGGCCTGAAGCCTGTGGTTAAAAACGCACATCTAGAAATGTTCACGTCGAATAACATGGTTATTGTCCGTATGAAACTCACCCGTTGGCCTCACTTTCTAAACTGTGCAGTGGATTATAAATAACGTTGAGATCTGAGTGTCCACCACCATTCACCTGAAAAGATACGTGAGCCATCTTCTCCTAAAGTTACGCATTTTTATTCCTCGTTTTCTTGAGACACAGTCTCGCTCTGTCACCCAGGCTGGAGGGCAGCGTCACCCAGATCACCCAGGCTGGAGTGCAGTGGTGGGATCTTGGCTCAGTGCAACCTCCATCTTCTAGGTTCCAGCGATTCTCCTGCCTCAGCCCCACAAGTAGCCAGGATTACAGGTGCACACCACCGCACCCGACTAATTCTTTGTATATTTTATAGAGATGGGGTTTCACCACGTTGGCCAGGCTGATCTTAACTCCTGACCTCAAGTGATCCACCCGCCTCGGCCTCCCAACATGCTGGAATTACAGTCGTGAGCCACCGCGCCTGGCCTGCATTTTTATTCTTTTTTTTTTTTTTTTTC